GATATATTCGATCCGGAATTTGACCCTCGGCTTTTAAATTCCAATATATTTTTTATTAATTAATTCAAATGAAGTTCTTCATCTTGTGAATTACATCTTCTACTCATTTCCCCTAAAATTCATTGATTTTTTATCTTCTCCTTATGTTGAGTTTCAATTTAAAGAAATTTATAAATTCATGTCCATCTGTAATTAAAGAACAATTACCCGAAATATAATTAATTCCGATTGTCGATAGGCTAGATAAAAAATGTGATATGAAAATGAATGGGTAATGTATCGGATTTGATATTTAATTTATTGTCTAGATAAATATATATAAGGTATCATATTTTCTAAATATCTTCGCAACGAGAATGTTTTCTCAATTTTGTTTTCAATTTTTTTTCCTCTGCGGAAAATTCATTCACAAAGCAGCTTCCGAAGATTCTGGTCTAAATCCACTTACTGCCAACATATTCTCAGGAGAATTTAAATAGAATCTTCAGACTGATTTCGTTTGAAACTTATTTTCTACCGGAGTGAATTCTCCAAAACGGATATTTGTGGAATTCCTGGGTGAAGGAAGTCGCACAAATAATCTGTTATTGATCTAAACAATTGTCGATTGAGTCTCATTATCTCCCCTGATACCTTGATTTTTGCTTGCTTTCAAGATATAATGCAACCTTGTAGATCAAAGTCATTGACGCCATTGACTACCGTTTCTCCATTCCAAATGTTCAAAGTCAGCCTTGAAAAAAGCGATTTATCCAGTTTATTGTATCGTTTCACAAAACTAAAACAGTTTTACGAGAGTTGTTGTAATTACTATATTTTTCCTCCAAAGAATGGCGATTTGTGCATCTCTATTTTGCATCCACCGATCGACGACCCCCAGAGTGGTGAATTACCATGTGAGAGGTGGAATCCAACGCAGAATGTCAGGTAAGAACGATAAATATTACGTAAAAATCAAGACAATATCGGATCTGATACAATGACAGACTTATAATAATTATTTACTCCTCAGGACAATTCTGTTATCAGTAATATCGCTCTTGAACGAACCCAACACATACAGTCCAGCAAATGTTGATGCATCAGTTATGTACAGACGTTGGCGTGATTCCAAGGGCAGAGACAAAGAATATGAAAATATAATCAGGTGATTACTCACTTTTTTACAACATTCTTCAGAGATTAGTTTTCCCTTGCACGAGACTTTTGGTTTGTATGAAAAAAAATGAGAGCATTATGACACACGTGGAACGAAAATAGGATTAACAGGATCTCTGTTCAAAAATCGAGAATAAAGAGACAAACTCAATTGACCTTTGGTACCGGGTGATTAAAGAGTAATTCGTATTTATAAATGTATCCCTCAACCTCGGTGACTCCATTTGTTTTTATTTTTTAATTCTATAAATTCTTTGGTTTTCTTTCTCTTAGAAAAAGATTTTCGAGAAGAAATCATTGAATCGAAATTAATAA